GTGCCCTAATGTTAGGTTGACGGTGCCCTAATGTTAGGTTGACGGTGCCCTAATGTTAGGTGGACGGTGCCCAAATGTTAGGTCGACTGTGCCCTAATGTTAGGTTGACGGTACCCTAATGTTAGGTTGACGGTGCCCTAATGTTAGGTTGACGTTTCCTAAAGTTAGGTTGACGGTGCCCTAATGTAAGGTTGACGATGCCCTAATGTTAGGTTTGACGGTGCCCTAATGTTAGGTTGACGGTGCCCTAATGTTTAGCTTGATCAGATTTCTTCCTAGCATATATTGCTACTAGGTATTTCAAGCGGCCTACAGTCTTTAATCCCCCCCCCTCCCCCGACCTTAATTTCAGTGGTGATGCCAGCGGTATTATTTGTCATCAGTTTTGTCTTTTCGGCACTGATTAGCATGCCGTAGGACGACGAGGTCTTATCGAGACGCTTCACCAGGTCGGCTGGCTCTTCTTCGTTCCCAGCCAGCACGTCTATGTCGTTCACAAAGCGTAGGTTGGTGATTGTTCTGCCACCAATGCTGACTGTCTTGGTGATTGTTCTGCCACCAATGCTGACTGTCTTGGTGATTGTTCTGCCACCAATGCTGACTGTCTTGGTGATTGTTCTGCCACCAATGCTGACTGTCTTGGTGATTGTTCTGCCACCAATGCTGACTGTCCCTTCATGCGCTTCCAGAGCATCTGACATAATTCTCTCTAGGAAGATGTTGAATGTTTAACTAAAATTAGACAAAAAATGTTTTTTTAGGAAATTCTTCATGTTCTGACGATTTTTTGTATTCTATTTAAATATGCGCAAGAAATAAACAAGCACACTTATAAATTCAGAACATATCCTGGTGACAGATTCTGTTCACTTTTAAACAATTGGATAGTCAATTTGTAAAAAAATTCGTATTTAAAGAGAATAATTTAATAAAGACTTTTATATCTCTCTGCCCTCCCCCACCTATTCTCACAGGTAAATATATAATATAATTTCTGATGTGCGACAACGTTGCCGTTGGAGACTCCTTGCTTCAGCGACTTGGACGGTTCATTCAAAACATGGATTCCTCAAGAGGGCGCTCGTAATGGTTCAATTAATTTTATAAGGTTATAATTATGTGACACCTACGTGACATCTAATTGACATCTAGGAGACGTGACATCTAGGAGACTTGACATCTAGGAGACTTGACATCTAGGAGACTTGACATCTAGGAGACTTGACATCTAGGTGACATCTGCGTGGCATCAAAATGACATCTGCGTGACCTCTTGCTGACATGTGCGTTACATCTAGGTTACATCCAAATAACATCTGCATGACATCCAGGTGACTTCTGCGTGACATCCAGAGGACATGGCGCTAACTAGCAACTGGCTTAGTCCAAAAACTGATTGTGAGAGAACAACTTAACAAATGGTTACTGGATGTCGCTTTATAGTAATCCCGTTTATCGACGTCTAGTGTGATTCTAATGTAGGCCCATGAAGGCCATGATGGACTTTAGAAGTAGGGATTAAAAAAATGAAGAGTTTTGTTTAGGATTAATAGGTAGGATTCATAACAATTTCGGTACAATATTTGACGCAAATGCTCTCTCATGAGCAATACACTTGAATTCTTGACTTACCGCTTACAGCACAGACTCCGGTTAAAGGCGATGATGCTGTTGCGACTATCCGGCACCGAAGATAAGACTGATTGCCGTCAGTATGCCGAGAATGGTAACAGAAAGCTCTTGCAGTGGGTTTTTTTTAAAGTGTAGTATATGTGAGCAAACCTAGCAGCTTCAGGAACGCCCACTTTGAACGCTAAATGACAACGAGTTCCCCTGGGCAGGAAAGTTATTGTCTTTTTATCAAACTTCGACTCCTGTTACTGAACTCAGTACCCGGTATATTTATTTTAATTTTTTTTTTTTGAATCGTTATATCCAAATTTAGGATATCAATTAGACTTTTGTAAGATGTGTTTTGAGTCCAGACCAAGAATAGAAAAAATCATTTCGTCAAAAATGTCCCCAAAAATTTTTTTTTTTTCCGATCTCGATTTTTAGTTTTTGGGTTCGTCGCTTGTAGACAACGTTCTTGGGTTTCACTCGGAGTTCGTTCGTGAAAGTTCGTGAAAGTTCGTGAAGGTAGGTTTCAGGTTTATCTTCGGGACTACAATTTATTCTAATGTGTTATTTCGTTTAACGTTAATAGTTCACGGGTTGTGCAGTTAAGAAAAAAAAAATATATTTAACCATAGGGGTTGTCTCTTCTAAAACCGGAAAGCGTCACATTGCATGACGTAATGTTACTATTTTTAGACAAGGCTTTCGTAGAACGTAGCCTGCTAAATATGTGTTTCCGCAAATCTATAGGCCGGCTTACATTAATGTAGATGTACCGAAAAGCTAAACGGATTACCCGGATGTTTTATTACTATCTTTTTCATCATTTTACGAGATTGGCCAAACTAAATACCCTGGATCATCTAAATACCCTGGATGATCTAAATACCCTGGATGATCTATGTAATTTAATGTTCCATTACATGACAAACCCTACAGAAGCACATTTATATTGAATTAAGTGTCAGTCGATAAAGTTTATTTGTCAAGGAAGTATATTTAGTATAAGTGTCTGTCGATAAATTGGTCTGCTAACTTCTTTTTTTTTTCTTCTCATTATTTTTTATTCTATCTTCATCAGGCCATTAATGTCATTAATTATATAGAAACCATTGACGTCATCAAAGAGGAAAACTGATTGATAAAACTTCAGCTATTGACATCGAGCTCAACATTTTGATATCAGAAGACATACAAAACTACAACCATGAATCATACATTCAACGAAACAGACACAGGTTTCTTAGAGGACCACCTCTCTTTCATGCTTCTCTATTTAAAACTGTTTCGAGCTGATTTTTTAACGGATTGCATCATGCTACCATTGGGCATAGTTATCCAGGCATGGCTTCTGCTCGCGATCGTCACGTCCCCGGGCATGCGCGGTCGCATGCGCAACAAGATCATTGCCAGTTTCTGCGTCCAACATCTTCTGGAGTGTCTGATCTTCCTGCCGCTGAATATGGACCTCGATCATCGAGTGTTTTTCGGGGAGATGGTCAGCTGCCATCAGCTGCACGCGCTGTCTAATATTATATTAATGCAAGATTTCATCACCAACTGGACTTTGGTCATTTTTGTTGCGGTTTACCTCGCCCAGGTCCGCGATTACACGCCTCAAGCACGCCTGCCTGCCCTTCCGGCTTGCCGCGCGGCATTCACCATCTTGAACAAACGTGTGGTGGCCACCTTCGCCCTGTTAGCCTCGCCTTGGATGATCGCTTTCGTTATTTTCCCAACGATGATAACATATTCCCGCGCAATTTTAACGCAGGAACATCTCGGGGATTGCTACTTCGATTACGGAGACGGGTACTACATTTTCAAGTCTGTGGACACAGCGGTTCCCCCTGTTTTTGGCCCTGGGGCTTCTCGTGACCGCGGTGGCGTTCAGACGGCGCCGGCTGTCTGGGGGAATCTCTGGGACTCAGTTGCAGTCGCAGGGCGAGTTGGCGGGGCGAGGACCGGATGTCGACACCTGGTACCCGTACGCGGCGGCGGTGTTGGTGGTGGGAGTGTGCGAAATCGGACTCGCCCTCTCATTTATTATGGTGATTGGAGTCGATTATAAAAAAAGGTTTGCTATTTCGATTCAAGCAAATAATAAACTTTACCATATCTATTTTTTCTACTATATCTGGCATCTCTCCCATCTCTTCTCCCTCTACCATCTCTCCCATCTCTCCCCTCGGTACCATATCTCCCATCTTTACCATCTCTAGCATCTCTGCCATCTCTCACATCTATACCATATCTACCATCTCTAACCATATCTACTGAATAAAAATAAAATTTCGATGATTAAACTTGTGTGTTGCAATGTGATACAATACGGCGTTTGAAAATCAATTGAGGTTGATGTTGATGATTTTGGTGGGGGTAGGGTTGGTACATGAGGGTACGAATATTATATGCGAGTGTTGTTGTTGTTGATATTGGGGGGGGGGGGTACTCGAGTTATAACAGACGATCACGGTTGATCTATTTATATAAAATATATACTGCTTCATTATTTTTATTTTTTTTTAAAGGTCTGGTACTCGAGAGGGTTTTGGGTTGGTACATGAGGGTACGAATATTATATGCGAGTGTTGTTGTTGTTGATATTGGGGGGGGGGGTACTCGAGTTATAACAGACGATCACGGTTGATCTATTTATATAAAATATATACTGCTTCATTATTTTTATTTTTTTATAACAGTCTGGTACTCGAGAGGGTTTCTGGGATCATGACAGGGGCCAAGGTCACACTCATAGCGTTCCCCTGGCTGCTCTTCCCCGACCTTAGGGAGCGTCTCAGGACCTGGAGGCCGGGGCGTCGAGAGCGGGGTCACGTTGACCTGACGCTCGTGTTCACAAAAGAACAGTCCTGATGCGTTTGTTGCCACACGTCATATAACCAAACATTTGTTTGTTGGTTTGTTTTTTTGTTTGTATTATTTCTGTTGCACTTTTGGATCGCTTCACGTACGTTATAATATTTCTTTCAAGGGGTTTTCTTTTAACTGTTTAAAGAGCAGCGGTTCTCAACATGTGGGTCGCGACCACATGGGGGGGGTCGAAAGACGCATACACAGGGGTCGCCTAAGACCATCGGAAAACACATATTTATGAAGTAGCAACGAAAATCATTTTATGGCTGGGGGCCACCACAACATGAGGAACTGTATTTACAGGGTCGCGGCATTAAGGAGTTTGAGAACAACTGCCTTAGAGTATTATGATTCATGTTTCATTATCTGTATGAAGGCTGAGAACAATTGCCTTAGAGTATTATGATTCATGTTTCATTATCTGTATGAAGGCTGAGAACAACTGCCTTAGAGTATTATGATTCATCTTTCATTATCTGTATGAAGGCTGAGAACAACTGCCTTAGAGTATTATGATTCATGTTTCATTATCTGTATGAAGGCTGAGAACAACTGCCTTAGAGTATTATGATTCATGTTTCATTATCTGTATGAAGGCTGAGAACAACTGCCTTAGAGTATTATGATTCATGTTTCATTATCTGTATGAAGGCTGAGAACAACTGCCTTAGAGTATTATGATTCATCTTTCATTATCTGTATGAAGGCTGAGAACAACTGCCTTAGAGTATTATGTGTATTATGATTCATCTTTCATTATCTGTATGAAGGCTGAGAACAACTGCCTTAGAGTATTATGATTCATGTTTCATTATCTGTATGAAGGCTGAGAACAACTGCCTTAGAGTATTATGATTCATGTTTCATTATCTGTATGAAGGCTGAGAACAACTGCCTTAGAGTATTATGATTCATGTTTCATTATCTGTATGAAGGCTGAGAACAACTGCCTTAGAGTATTATGATTCATCTTTCATTATCTGTATGAAGGCTGAGAACAACTGCCTTAGAGTATTATGATTCATGTTTCATTATCTGTATGAAGGCTGAGAACAACTGCCTTAGAGTATTATGATTCATGTTTCATTATTTGTATGAAGGCTGAGAACAACTGCCTTAGAGTATTATGATTCATGTTTCATTATCTGTATGAAGGCTCAGAACAACTGTCTTAGAGTATTATGATTCATGTTTCATTATCTGTATGAAGGCTGAGAACAACTGCCTTAGAGTATTATGATTCATGTTTCATTATCTGTATGAAGTTCTTTTTTTTTTTTAACTTCTTAGGGTAACAATAAAGAGTGTTGATTTTATTTTAAATTATCGCCTTGGTTTTTGTTTTAGGCTGCTTCGGGTACATGATCCAGTATCGTACGATCTTCGGGTACATGATAAAGTAACGTACGATCTTCGGGTACTTGATTCAGTATCGTACGATCTTCGGGTACATGATAAAGTAACGTAGGATCTTCGGGTACATGATAAAGTAACGTACGATCTTCGGGTACATGATAAAGTAACGTACGATCTTCGGGTACATGATCCAGTATCGTACGATCTTCGGGTACATGATTCAGTAACGTACGATCTTCGGGTACATGATCCAGTATCGTACGATCTTCGGGTACATGATCCAGTATCGTACGATCTTCGGGTACATGATTCAGTAACGTACGATCTTCGGGTACATGATCCAGTATCGTACGATCTTCGGGTACATGATTCAGTAACGTACGATCTTCGGGTACATGATCCAGTATCGTACGATCTTCGGGTACATGATCCAGTATCGTACGATCTTCAATTGTTATTGATATTGCCTACACAGTTTGTTTTAACGGCAGTAAGACGCATGTGCAGCAGTTGATTTTTATTATTTTTAAATCCATTGCATAGGATTTTTTTGGCTCTATACTGATTATGGTATATGATTTAAGACACCTTTATATACTCGCTCCATTTTTTTTTCTTGTAGGTGGGTCTAAAAATATAAGAGGTCTAGCTTTCCTATTTCTGTACTATTATCTGATGTTAGTTTTTAGTGTCTGTAATTATTGTCTCATGTTAGTTTTTTTAGTTCTGAAATTATTATCTGATGCTAGTTATTTTAGTGTCGGTAATTATTATCTGAATTTAAATTTTACTGTCCGTAATTATTATCTGATGTTAGTTTTTGTCTGTAATTATTATCTGTTATTAATTTTTAGCAACTTATTTGCCAGAATTTCGCTATGGACGGCTTTTGAGCTCCAATAAAGATTTGTTAACAGCTAGTTGCCTTAATGAAACGACTAAAGCTACAATCAAACTGGACTAAAGCTACAGCCACACCGGACTTAAGCTACATTCACATTGGAACTGAATTTCAACGACATTTTAAACGGACACAGGAAACAGTTTGATACGTTATCGACCTTTATAACTGATACAAAAAAAAAATTATTTTTTTAATTTAAATTTACAATGTCGTAAAAAGAAATGGTCTAGTAGAAAATTTGTGTTTACGACACTTAAAATTTAATTTTTTTTAAAAGTTTTTTTTGGGGCGAGAAATTCGCCTAGCCTTGCGCTCATATGAAATTCAATCGAATCCGGTTTCGGCCAGCCATCTTCATGGCTTACCATGACGACAGCCTTCACCTTTCAAGACCCACGTGTTGAGCGATGACGAGAGTTAAAACTGATTTTACGGTTTCAAAACTGAACAAGCTCAAATTGTAACGGCTAAGAATTTGTCCACCTGGAAATAACAATTATAATTTTTTTTTAGCTTTAACTGCAATGGTGAAAGTTTCTACGGTGAAATTATGGAGTTAGCACACCAATCGAACCGACATTTATAAAAAAAATACTATATATTATTATTGGCAACAAGTAATTTGGCTGTAGAGACCGAACGAAAGTAATTTTCTTATGTTCGGCCGAAACTGAAACTAGGCCAAAAGTTAAAAATGACTTTCGACCGAAACCGAAGCCGAAACCGAAAATGAAATATTTAGATATTTTGAAATTCGTTCAAGCATACATTCTGCATTACATCGAAAATTTAAAAAAAAAATGGATGGGGGGGATTATCAATATTAGCATTCTTTTTTTTATAAAAATGAGAAAATCGTGAATATTAATAAATAAACATCTAATATTGGGGTCTCAAACTCGCGGCCCGCGGGCTATTTGTGACCCGCAAAACGATATTTTGCAGCCCGCTACATGACAGAAATGTTTAGTGTCAATGCGGCCGGCGCATTTCCCCCATTGGTCATATCTATCACGTGACTCTCCGCGACGGTTTCAGTCGAATCTCGCTCGCCGACTAGTCTACTTCTGATTTCACAGGAGCTGATAGAAGTTACAAGACCAGGGGTAGCTTGTAAGTGATGCCTATGACAATGTCAGGGCATTCTGCACAAAACTTGAGTTATGGTTCTCAGGGAAGCCCTTGCCATTTCCCAACATGCAAAGTACCCGTGGACTTGGGGACGCCATTCAGTAGTAACTTAGTAGTAAGTATACTGATGCCATTGCAAAGTTACAGAAAGAATTTGATCCCAATTTTTTTTAGATTTCAAACACAGACGGCCACTTTTAAGCTTTTTGCTGACCCTTTCTCCTTTATTGTGCTTGATGCCCCGCGCAGGGGGCTGAATGATAAAACAGACAATCATTGACATTTTATTGCATTGCCCTCCTCCTTCCCTGTGATTTCCAAGTTGTTCATGCGGATCATATGACTCTTTTGGGAGTACCTATCTGTGTGAAAAGCTCTCTTCCTCTTTGCACTTTAACAAGTCAAAGTTCAGGGCCAAACATACTGATGAGGATCTTCAAGCTATACTGAGGGTCTCAGTTGCTTCCTCACTCAATCTGTGTTACAAGAAGCGCTGCCAGGTCTCTGTCAACAGTGAGTAGGTCGAAGAAAGTGAAGACTAGTTCTTGAGAACCCTTAAGGTTTTTATTTGTTATTTATGAAGGTAGAGCAGATTGAAACAGCTGTACTTTAACGAATTTGTAATCGCTTTTTCGCGGTCCAGTCTCAATCAGACTCTACCTCCTGCGGCCCCCCTCATGATTTTAGTTTGAGACCCTTGAAGTGATGAATACTTTGACTTTTACCTTTTCATTTAAAAGTAATTTTAATTGTTTTTAAACTAGTGCGATAGGAGAAAATTTGGAATAAAAGTGGAGGGGAAAAAAAAAGGGGAGGGGGATTAATGCAAAATAAACCCTTGAGTGCCCTTTGCTTTTATAATATAATTACAACCTAGAACATATACCTACAATAATTATTGGAGCTCTAATAGAGCCTATTGTCACCTAAGTATATGTTATTAAGGCATTAGAAATATCACCAGAATGTTTCGCTGTTTTCATCATACTAATGCTTTGTGTTTTCATTAATAGCTTGCAAGATATCACTGTATTAATATTGAGCATAATATGTACACACTATAGTCTTTTTGTGCTGGTAACGTCATTATTTCGTTCGGAGGCCAACGTCCCTGACCCCCATTGGTCGGAATATTTTTTTTTTTAAACCGGGTCTCTTAAAATTGTTGTTCTGATGGGTCTCAACGTAGAGTCGCAAAAGACACCCTAATTGGTCGCCAACATCATAAAAGTACACAGGTCTGCAGTAGACCTACTACATAATTATAATAAGAACCCGTGATACTCGCCCACTTATGTTATTTCGTCAATAACAATGTTTGTGGGGGTGATAACGCTCAATTTCAAGAAATAAATGGTTTGAAAAAGGTTAAGTTTCCTTATTTTTTAATTTTTAAAAAAATATTTTAAAAAAATAATGATGGAAATATTACCATATCCTCGGATTATGTAATATTGTTTACCTTTGCCTATGACAACATTGGTGAGCAGGATAATAATAAATCTAAATAAATTTCACAAATGAAGGAATTGAATAAATGTGGGGTTCCAAAGTTTATTTTAGAAATTAATAAATATTTTTTTTTTTCAAAAACTGTTTACATTAAAATTTGTCTAGGCCAAATTGAAATGCAATTTTTTTTTTTAAATATAGGTCAAGTAGGTCATCATGCAGCTGTGGGCAGTTTTCGCTGAGTATTAGTCATATAACATACGATGACAGCAAGACGTCTAGCAATAATGAATATCGGATTGTCGGCCTTGAGACAGATAGACGATGGACTTCTGGTAGATGACCGAAAACCTCAGTCACTTCAGTGATTGAGACTTTCGGCCGAAACCGAAATTTAAACGAAAGTTTTACTTTTCTGTTTCGGCCGAAACCGAAAGTAAGCCGAATGTTAACTTTTCACTTTCGGCCAAAACTGAAACTCGGCCTAAAGTGATGAAATGCCAACTTTCGGCGCCGAAGCCGAAATTCGGTCGGTCTCTACCCGCAACTGTTGTTAATCCTTCTCTGCATCGTCGATCCATCTCAGGCTTGGTCGACCGGTCAGTCGCATCCCCCTGGGTTTCTGCCTGTTGACCACTTTTGCTGCTCTACAATCCGGTATCCTCTGAATGTGTCTAGTCCATGAAAGTACCTGGCAAATGCAGACAATAATAAAAAAAATATAACAGGTCACTCCTCTCCCACATTATTAGTAATTGTGTTTTCTTTACAATTTTCAACCTGCATTTCTTAAGTTGTGGCTAATAGGTAAGACCCCCCAGATGTAGTCTCCAGTCAAAGACAACGCAGGTCAGACTCCAGGTCTGACTCCGGTCAAAGACAGCGCAGGTCAGTCAGTGGCGTCACGATACTCTCGTAAGTAGCCTAGGGATATTTAAAGGAATAGTACAACAATGTATGTGGAAACTTTAAATAGAAAGACAGGACAATAAAAGTAGAACGTTTCGGCTAAGAGTCTTCCTCAACATTAAACAACAAAAAATCCTCGATATATATATATATATATATATATATATATATATATATATATATATATATATTTTTAAAAATGTTCTAACTTAATTTCACGACCTCTTACTTCTGAAAAAAATAAATACTAATTTCAGTCATAGTGCTACCTACCTTTTATTCTGTCTCTACCTCTAATAAATTTTGATAAGTGTCAACAGCAAATTAACTTTTAACATTTACGCTTGTTAATATCCATTTGTTGGTAGGTGACAGTATTTTTACAGCAATGTTGAATTTTTCCCCCCCCCCTGAAATCATCATAGCCTATTTCTAACTTTATTGTTATGT